TCTGATAGATACTGTGTGGGTTACTATTCTCGTTGCTGAGACCAAATATCTGACACCCAAAGTCCAGTCAGTAGACTGATCCAGCAGTCACCCACTCTTAATCCTAGCATAGCACCATGAATCAATCACATGCTCTAGATTCAGACACCTCTGAAAAATCCCTATGACTGCCTGAGGCTTTGGGGAGACACACCGTAACAGATCCCTACCAAACGCCCTTTCTTGCATTACTGGGTATTGAACACAGGGTTTCACACATACTTGGCAAGTACTTCACACATGCTCTGCAAGCACCAGTGAGCTACATCCCCAGACTTTTTAATTTCTGAGACAGAATCTTGCTAAGTTGCCCAGGCTTGCTTCTAACATGCATCTTTCTTCCTCAGCCTCTCTAGTAGCTGGAGCTATGGCTTGGGATCATCTTTTCATAGAGTGAAATTCAGTTGTATTTTTACCAGATAAAAACTCTTGCATTTCTGTGTTTAAGAATGAATTGCACCACCCTTAGTTTTCTACAACTCAGAGTATTGTAAAGTATTTCAGTCAAAGAAAAATGCAGATCCCTCTGGAATCAGATAACCTCTGGGGACCCTCTACAGAACTCCTGGTAATCCATTAAAGCAAACAGTCATTTTTTCCCATTTCAAAATACTTCAGTTTTTCTTGATATCTTAACTAAAACCTAGAAACAGCCCAGAGATCTATCAACAGTACAGTGAAGTCTAAATAGCAACAGAAGTTAAATCCCCCCCTGCAATCCCACGGAACAACCCTAGTTAATTTTACTGGCATAGTACTGTGCACAAGAAGCCACCATAACAATACATGCTATATGATCACAGTTATATTAAGTTCAAGTACAGGTTCTTCTTTGGTTGTGCTGCTGATTGAACCCAGGGCCTTCCCACTGAGCTACCTGCCCATTTCTTTTATTTTCAGACAGGGTCTTGCTAATTCACCAAGTTGCCCAGAGTGGGTTTGGACTTGCGATTCTCTCCCTGAGCTCCCAGAGAGCTGAGATCCCTGGTGTGCACACCATGCCTGGCTTCAACAAGTAATACTTATATAAACTATCAGAAGTCAGTATTGTGGTTAATGTTACTTTTAAATTGAGATTTCCCCTTTTTCTTTCTGGGAAGGACCTTTTGAGTTTTGCAGTTTTGTTTTGTTTTATTTTATGTTATATGTATGTATGCTGGTAAGAGGTGCCTTAACCCTGAAGAATCCCAGAACTGTACTTACAACTAATGATTTGTGCTTTATTTTTTTGTGGTGCTGAGGATTGACTTTAGGGCTTTGCACATGCTAGGCAAGTGCTTTACTACGGAGCCACACCCCAAGCACCAGTCTGTGCATCTTGAAATGCTTACTATTATTGCTCAGTAAGGTTTGCCAACCACCGTCCTCCATTTTTACCAGTGTCTTTCGGGGAAGGTGGTGTTACAAATGTGTACTATTGTCCTAGTTCCATGGCATTGTAAAGCATTATTTTTTATCCTTGGTATTTGATTGAATTTTCCATTTTGTACTTGGTCAGACATTAAGACTTGAGAAACAAGTTTGTTTCTTAAGGCTAGCTGGCCTTCATTTCTTTTTAGAATTCTCTAGAGGTAAGCACTTAGACAGCTCTCCCAGAGTTTTTATAGCCTTTTCTCTGTGTATATTATTGTCTGGGCTGCTGTAATTTCCTTTTGCCTTAGATTAAGTTGTGAGGTTCTAAACTTGTGTTTCTCCACCATTTTTTTGGTTTGGTATGTAATTTGCATATTTTCACCATGCGAAAGCTATTTTCTATGGTTGGAAAAGATTTTTTTCCTGCAGTGTGAACAAATCATTCTTTGTTCTCCTTATTGTGCCTCCAAGCTGGTACGTCCGGTTTATGCCCCAAACAACAAAAGTCTGTCATCAGAAATTAAAATGCCAGCAAGAACAAAGGCAGACACCACGAGGAGCTCTTGGAGCTCGGTTTGCTCCTCTCCCCAAGTTAGCACTGTTGCCAGGGAGTTGGAGCACTGCTCAGGACACTTCTTCCTTGAAGTTCCGTTCTTGCATTTATTGTTATTGTGGGTTTAAAAGTGAACTTACAGCTCTGTGTAATTTTCAGGACTTATAAAATCTGAGCTGTTTTTAAGAAACTGAAAAGTCAGGTTTGACAGCCTTTTCTGTGAAAGCAATATTACCAGTGAACATACTGGTAATTATTAGAGATACTTCAGCATGTGAGCTAACGCAGTCGCTAAGGACATTACCATCCTCTGTGTGTCCTTTCTGTCTCCTCCTCCTCCTCCTTTTTTTCTTTTTTTTTTTATACTAGGAATTGAACTCAGGGCCTTTACATTGAGTTACAGCGTTATTTTTTATTTTTAGGTAGATTCTCACTGTGTCTCCAAGTTGCCCAGGCTGGGCTCAAACTTGTGATCCTCTTGTCTCAGCCTCCCAGAATGCTCTCTGTGTCCTTTCTAAAACGTCCATCCTGTCTGAATATGTTTCTGTTCTGAAGGGGCATGCTAATGTACAGTGTTCACATACTATTTGGAAAGTTCTTTCCTGGGAAGGTTGGTGTTTATGACTCCTGTAGGATAGTTTAGAATCACACTTTTAATTTCAGTATGTTGTACAGTCATGGCTTTATTCACAGATAGCTGTAAATGTGACACAGTGCTTCCTTTCTGCTTCTTTTTCCTTATGTCATAAAGATTTGGGGATCTTCACTGTGAGGAATTAAAAGGAAATGGACAGTGAATGTGTAGATACATTTTATAAACAATTCCTATGGTTTTTTTTTTTTTTTTTTTTTTTTTTTTTTTTTGCCTTCTTCTGCATCAGAATTTTTCCACTTTACCTATAAAGAAAGACCTCTAATAGAAGGCTAGAATAGAGCATTTAGGTCTGTTCTGAACCCTTTTTTTAAAATCTGAAAACCATATTGTGTTTGAAGTTTCAAAATGTTTTTCTATGTCAAACTAAGCTCTTGTGCATTAAATATAGTGATGGTAAACTTCTGTCATATTGTGAGTGTGCCAAGGCAGATTTGGTTTTTAAAAATTGCTTTTAGTATATTTGAGTACAGAGGCTCTGTTAAACATGATTGAACTTTTTTTTTTTTTAAACATTAAGGTTTTATTTGATAGAACCCAAAGTTAAATACCAGACCCCTGGCACGTGGAAATAATAGTATAGAACAGTAGATTTTACTTTAGAATACTCTAACTTGTTACATAAGTGAGAAGTGTTTTTCATTACCTAGAATTACAGTTTCAGTGTAAACTCTACCGTGTTATTTTAAAACTTATTCTTTATGTTCTTATTAATAGAAATAGTATGTATGTTATTATGATTATTACTTGTTAGTCAGCAGAAAGTTCATTATCAGAATACAGACGACTTAGCATGCCGCTTATTCTTTTGTCTACTGATAAATTTTCTAGAATTGGCAATATGGGACTAACCAGAAACATCAGTGGACTACACTGTGGATCACTCTTTGTTGTATATATGCTTAAAAATCAAGGATAGTGTAAATTAAATTTCAGATAATACATGAACTGGAAAATTGAACAAAACAGCCATTTAAAAAGGTCTTCATTTCAAATTCTATTCTGTGGTAATGAAAGGTAGACTGAAGAGCTGCTATATAGGATGTGATGAGTTTAATTTTGAAAATGAAAGGTCACAAGGGGACTTTCAGAGTCACGACGTTTACCCCGCAGGCTGCGCCGAGCTTGTAGCTTTGCGTGTCTCCTTGGTGACAGGTGGTGCTGTTGCCGCACAGCTGATGCTTGCTGGCCTCACGTGCTCCGCATCCCGTGTGCTGTACGAGGGTTTGCTGATCCAGACAGTAATTTGTGATAATTGTCATAGGCAAAATGAATATTTATAGGAGAGAAAAAATTTTACAGTTTGAAGCTTTTAAGTTGAGATAGAAGAAAAGCTGAAAAATCTTAAAAAGTGGTTACTCTAAAAGGTACCTCTGCAGATGTACAGTTTAATATTGGAGGATGTATAGGTTTTTTTTTATAATGCATATATTTTTGATATCTTAAGCCACTTATTGGACAGGCCTATTAAAATATCAAAGTATGTTTTTTTCTACTGAACTTTTACGTTTATTATATTTATTACAAGTTCTTAGATATTTAGAACTAGTTTTATAATATATACTATTTTGTCTGATATTATATAGGCCATAAAATGCTAGATAATTATGAACATGTATTGAGAACAAAATGACCACTTAAAATATGCCTGCAAGAATGTTCTTTAATATAGTCTGCTCAGAGTATCAGTCATTAGTTGAAAAGCGATGTTTTCACACTGGATAGATACTAGCATACCCCTTTTACCATTTGGATTAATAGAATCCTATATTCTGTATATCTGAGAAATCTGATATCACGCGAGAAGAATGGACATTCGTATAGCATTTGATCTCTGTGTAAAAGATGACATTTGAATTTGCTTACGTGTAACTTTTTATTCACAGAATATTGAGATTATTTTGGAGGTCATTTTACCAGGTTTTCCTTATTTTATAATTGAAAAAGAATATAGGCTTATAGAGTTAAATGATTTACGCAAAACTAAATCATCATTCCAGAAACATAACCAGTTTTAGTAACCGGTGAGAGTTGCTATGGTATTTAAGTTGTAATTTCCAGAATAGTATCATAGTTGCTTTACTCTAAAGTAGAAAGTAGTCATGCAGGAATTGTACAGATTCCTATGTTTAGTCAAGTGAGAGTTAATAGATTTCTGGGACAGTCTGCATTTTTCCACTTCAAATAGAATATGGGCTCTTATTTTTCTACAAATACTTGATAATTTAAGCTATGAATATACTTGATGTGTATGATAAGCTAAAATGAATGTGGGTGTTTGTGTGTTTGTATGCATTTTTTAAGGCAAATTCTGGTAAAATTTAGATGATCTTGTTTTCCTCTAATAATGTTGTGACCTACATTCTACTTTACTGAATTTTTTTCCTGTCTCCTTGTATGCAGATTAGTGGGGAAGCACAGGAGCTCTTCTCTGTTCGACATGGCCCAATTCGAGCAGCTAGAATCTTACCTACCCCACAGTTTGGTGAGTAAAGAGAGCTCGGAAGAAAAAACCAAATCAGAGTTTCTTTTGTTGTCGTGGACTGCAGACAGTGAGAACGAGGACTAAAGTCTGTGTCCCTCCAAGTGTCCACTCCCCTCTCCCTCCTCCCCGCAAGATAAACTCTTAGTTCTGTCAGTTGAGATGGAAATAGGTAATCTTAACCAATTCAATATGGCTATTCACTTTCTGCTGTGGTTTTGATTTATCTCCATCCTCTTTGATCTCACTTAGCCTCTGCTTTTGCTAGCTCTTTCTCGGAGCCCTCTTCTCTCTTGGTTTTCATGGCATCGTTCTTCCAAGGTCCCTTCTTTGCTGACTGTGCCGCCTTTGTTATGCTCCTGGCTTGGCTTTCTTCCGTGGGTATTCCCCAAGTCTCTGTTCACATGCTTTGCCCTTCGTCTCAATGATACTTACTGACTTGGAGAGCTTGGTTTTCACTATTATCTTGGTTGTAGGTGACTGCTGCTGTCTGTCTTCAGCTGTGTCAGAAGTGGATTGTGAATCGCTTCTCGGCCTTTTGGCTAAGATCAAGTGTAGAAGTGGATTGTGAGCTGTTAACCTTACAAATCTGCTTTGATAGCGAATACGTCTTAATGTTGTGTTTAAATAGTATGTGTGCTTTATATTTGTGTAGAAGAGTCTAAATGTATGTTAATGTTAAATCTGCTGTTTGCGTGTCTAAATAACTCCATACTTTGAACTTCAAAAAGGTTGTGTTTTCTCATTAATTTGCATGTGTTTACTCAAGAATATTTTACATATGCACCAAAAATATAATCGTATTAATCACATTTGAGTACTTTAAAATCTCTTAAAAAAGATATTAAAATATTTTAATTCTATTATATTTCAAAAAGATTATCCTAATGTGGAAAATCGTCTAAGATTTACAGCAGTTAATTCTCTAAATTGGTGAGAACGAATATTTACTAAAACTTAGGACAATGTGATTGTGCATAAGTAATTTTAGGGATTAATTTAGTGATTAAATCAGTTTAAATGAAATGGGAAGGGTAGGGCTAACAAGGCAACAGTATCCTGCAGTCTTGTGTTTCTCCCTAGCTGTTCAGCTGTTTGACACGTACAGATTCCAGCTCCATAGCTGTCTCACACTCACATGCACACTCTTTCTCTGCCTTCCCCTCCACCCTCCCAGCTATGCCCCTTTGCTTCAGCTTTCTCCACCACCTGATTTCAGTTGTATTTGTAATTTAGTGAAAATTTTTGACAGAGAAGGTCCTAGACCTTGTGATAAAGTTTTCACAATAACCAGCTTCATTTTTGGAGGACTGGTATCAAAAACTTCACTATTAAAGGACTCGCTTTGTTTCTTTTGCATGTAATTCACAGAGGCAGATTTTGACCCTTTTATTAAGGTCAGCTTTTCTTTTACTTGTGGCAAAAATGCTCCATGAAAGTATCAAACTATGAAAAGTTAATATTGCTAGTATAATTTTATATGAAAGTATCTTTAATTTACTTTGCTATTTATTAAAAGATTTCTACATGTAATATACTTACATAAAATTGTTTAAAGTATCATTTTACATGGGTAAGTGTTGTTATGGCTTAAAAATTGTATGTAGCTTTTATCATATTTGGTAAATCTTTTAGATTTGTTTTTATTAAATATAATAAATAAAACTGAGCCCATAAAATTTGTAACAGAAAACAGTAATATCGCACTGCCTTTTCTCCCATGGTGCTTTATTTCTTCTTTTTGGTGGAAGAAGTTCTAAAAAACCTTGTGGGAGATCTCACCTATCTGAAGATTTCTTAACTCTTGATTGATAATTTGGCCTGGATAACAACTGCTTGTTTTTAATGATTTTAGTTCAGAATGTAGAAGGCGTTATGTGGGAGAGTCTGAAGCCGTTTTATCATCTTTTCCTTTGTATGTAGCTTGTTATTCTTTCTGGGAGCTCATAGAACGTTGCCTTTGTTCTTCAGGTTCTGAAATTTTGCAGTGTTGTGTCTTGATTCATATGTTGTGCTGGGCCCTTCAAAGTGGAAATGCAAATTAAATGGTTTTGAGAAAATGTTTTCAGTTAATGTTGCTTATGAATTTTCCCCTAGGTTTTATTTTCTCTTTCTGTAACTCCTATTATTTGAGTATTACCCCTCTTGTACAGTTAATTAAAAAAAAACTGGCTGTTCTTTTTGAGAGATTGTCTCAGTGTTACTCTTCTGTTGCACAATTCTTTTTGGCTGTCATGTTTTTCTTATCCTCAATTTCACAAACCTAACCCCTTTGCCCCCCTTTACACTCTCCCTCCCGTCCTTTTCTCCTCTCCCTTTATTCCTTCGTACAATTTACATATAATGTTAGCAGTTAGAATCCAGTGAGTATAAAATGAATTACTCATCATTTTGAGTGCAATTTATTCCAGAAAAACAAGGATGGTTAACGTTAGAAGATCAATGTAATTTACTGTATTAGAATGAAGAAAACTCATATACTCACCTCAATTGAAGTAGAAAAAAATCTTTGATAAAATTCATAGCCATTTATAAAGAAGTTTTAGTAAACTACAGATAGGAAGAAACTTCCTGAATATGATAAAGATTATCCGTTAAAAAAATCTGTAGCCAACCTAATACTCAGTGGTGATACATGGAATACTTTCCTGGTGAGTGCACTATGGCTTCCATCACCGTGTCTTTACTGCAGGTCCTAGCCAATTATATAAGGCAAGAAAAAGAAATAAAACATAAATATTAGATAAAAATTATCTGTATTCATTGGTCATATGATGATGAATTTAGAAAACATAACAGAATCTATAATCTCTTAGCAATAATAAGTGAATTTAGCAGAATTGCTACATGGTTCAATACAAGGCGCATATCAATTCATGTAAGTCCATTGCTTTCATTCTGCCCAGAGAGGGAGTCTCTGAAGGTGTGATTTCTGAAGTATTCAGAAATAAACCAAGTTGCTTTATTTTCTCTTGACTGTTTTAATGTCACTAACTGCTTGAAAGTTACTATTCTTTTCAACTGTGCTATATAAAGAATTCACAGTTTAACATCTCAAAATGTTAAGAAAATAATGAAAAGTGTGGGAGGCAAACAAAGGTACAGGAAAAAATACTTTAAAAATTTAAATTGAATGTTTTTTTTTTGCATCATGAGTTGAACTCAGGACCTCCCGTTTGTTAGGCACGTGCTGTGCCGCTGAGCTACATCTCCAGGCAAAATTACAGTCCTCATAAGGCTGTACTTACCGTCATCATGTTTTGTTTTTTTTTTTGGTTCTGGGAATCAAACTCAGGACCTTGTGCTTGCTGTGCTGCTGAGTTATAGCTCCAGCCCTAAAAAGTTTTAAAAAGAACTTTAGATTCTCCTTTCTTCCTGCTTTGGAAAGCCAGTGGCAACTGTGGCTGGTCATTTGGTACACAGTCTGCTTATGCAGACAGAAAAAGTAGCTATTACTCTTTCTCTTGTCTGCTTTCTTGCTTTTAAATATGAATGACTAGTTACTTGAAACAGACATAGACAGAACAAATTCAGAGTTTTTAGTTTGTTATTCATAATTTGCTTTTTTGGGGGAAAATTCTTATAGTACACTTTTTACATGCTGACGCCCAGCATTTTGAAAGGTACAAGTATATATTTCATTCTTCAAACAACTTAAGTGTGGTTTTTTACCGCATTCAGAGAAACACTTGATTTTCTGTGAAGTCAGGATTCATGACAAAGTTCTCTAGAAGTGTTTGCTGTAATTTTTTGAATCCTCTCAAACACAAAGACACAGACAGACAGGCAGACACACACACGAGTCTGTGTAGCCCAAACAGCAGCAAACTTTCAAAAGTAGGCCAACTGACATGTGTTTACTGTCATCGGGAATGCATGGCCAAGAAGAGAAAGCAGGCTTATTGACATTTTAAATGGCTAAACTATAAGATTTAGGGCTTCCTTAATGTTTTCTGCTCTAATTACTTCTCAGTTTACATCATGCATTTCTTTCATAATACTTAGTCTTTCTCATTGAGGCCTTTCTGCTGGTGATTAGATTTTTATACTTGGCCAAGTAATGTAATTTAGTAGGTTGTAACTTGGGCCTATATGTGCTGTGCATCTTGAACTTTGTCGTTTTTGGTCAGAGGATGCATTTATCGTGTCTACCTTTGAGGTGCCGCTTTTTCAGGTTTTTGGTGATGTCTTGATGTTGGTTTGGACAAGTCACGCATCTGAATCCTTTAATTAGGGACTTTTCCTATGTGGGCTACAGAGAGGAAGTATACTGAACAGAAATGAGAGAAAGAAATTTATAAATTATGTGAATTGTAATGCTTGATATTTTTCAGATGACATTCTCTGTTGATTATATAATGGATGTTGTCACCACACTTCTGCAAGTCAGGTCCCGTTATCCTGACTTACAAGTGAGGAGACTTGAGGCTCAAAGAGATTGGGTAACTGGCGCAAGTTGATAAGGGTTGGAGGTGAAATTTGTACTGTGAATCGCACTTCACCTTGGTCTAGCAGTTCCCTGTGAATAGGGTTTTTCCACACCTACAGGGAACATTTTTGCTAAACCAGGTATTTCTAGGCAGAAACCACACACGTGTTTATTTATTAGACTGTGTAAATATTAGTATATTTTTTCATTTTGGACTTTTGGTTATTTCAGTGTCTTAATTGTATTTGGAGACCATGGTTATTTAAAGAACATTGAAAATAGTTATATTTTTCAGTATATAAGTATATTATATATACTTATATATTAAGACCAGTATATTAAGAAAATATTAAGAAATTGGTCTTAAGAATATTTCTTAAGAAATACTAAGAAATTAAGACCAGTATATTAAGAAACCATTTTTTACACTGTGACATTTAAAATTTAAGCTTTTGGGATAAAGATAATAGTCCATCTAAATTTTGTTTGTTTTTAATTAAATCAACTTTGTTGATCCCTTTTTATGTGACTTGGAATAAACTAATGAAAGTACATAAGATATCTCAAATCAGAT